CTGATTGCTCCCGGCTGCAGAGTACGTGGCAGTTGATTTCGATTGAGGATAAGCGGCTGTTCAAGGATATGGAGTGCCTAATTCAGCCGGTGCGCAATTTCAATGATTTGCGTGTCGAGATGGAGACGGCCAGCTTGCAGGAAGGCTGTATTCCCTTCATCGGTGAGTTTCTAAATCGTTTGCTTGAATATCGCGCTAGATCTGTTTGCTGATTTTCTTTTCTTGTTTCCAGGCCTATACGTCCACGATCTCACTTATAATGCACAAAAACCCGCACAAGTTAACAGCACTAACGGCGGTCTACTTGTCAACTTCGAGCGTTATCGCACCGCAGCACGAATCGTCAAGAGCCTCCTCCGTCTCATCGACGCCAGTACCAAATATAAGTTCGAGCCCGTGCAGGGCATCATCGAACGGTGCTTGTGGATTGCTTGTCTTCCTGAAGACGAAATCCAATCCCGCAGCAAAGCACTCGAATAATCTCTCGTTCTTTCCCCTTTCTTTCCTTCGTCCTTTTGGTTGCATCTCTACCTATATCCAATTTTGTACTACAATCTTGACATCCGTGATTGGATAGTTTATACCCCATTTACCAGAGGCTGCTTTTATCCCTCTGCCATTTTGTACCACCACTTGCATCTGGTTAACGCCTTTCGTTTTGGAATTCCTTTTTTGTCTTGATGGTGTTGAACCATGCTGTTCCTATGAATGGACCATCTGTCTGTACTTCATAATAACAGCAATTTTTGTACATACCTTGGCTATCCCAGCCATGCTCGGCATTAAACATGTCAGCGTTCAAGAATTTCGGGAATGCCGGGGCACCTCTGTCATTCCTCACCCGCTAGAGTCGCTTACTCGGTTCACGGCTCGCTCTCTACCTATCGTCGCAATATTTTTTTTTATATATATCTGCCAGCCACCCCATAATGACAGCAATTATCATGAACATTTCGGTCATTCTCAGTCTACCAAACTTGCATTGTCTACATATGTACTCAACCGTACCTACCTGGTCCCTGAAATCCTTGCCCTATGCATCACTTCCCTTTAGCTGAAGCTCTAAAATATAGCATCACAGATTTTAGTATCGTATAATATTATGTAAAGAAAAGGTAGGATTCGAAAAGAGATATTTTTGCAGGTGAATAGGGGTTTGTTCGTGGATCTCACTTACCTACCGTATGATCTCCATATTTAGAAGAAATCAAAGTGATAACTTAAATACGTAGTACAAACTATCATACTAATTTATTTGCCTTCATTGGCTTTATACCCTAATATCATATTGCCCGACATTCGATCCATACGGAGGAATTACAAAGCTGCGTCATATCTCCGGGGGCTTCGGGGTCGCATCGCGGGAGCTGGTCCAGGAACGGCACACCAAATCCACCACCCCATTCATCACCACCATCTCCCTCTAACAAGCAATTTTCACGTGTGGAGGGTGCGCTCCTTACAGAACATATCCCCAGAGAGGGTTCTTCGATCTTCTCCAAACTTCAAACTCTTTGATGTCCCGCCACAACTCTATCAGACAGCCAGCCCGCCACGATGGACATGACCAAACCGCGGCGCGGGGCTTCAGAGGACTCCGACTACAATGACTACAGCGAACACAGCCCCGCGTCCTTCCACGAAGCTAAACAGGAACTTCCAGATGACTTACCCAAATCACTGGACGATCGTCGTTCTGTCCCGGTCTTCCAGCCAGAGACTGAGATGTATGATGCTTGGCAAGGTGAGTGCTCTTGTGTCCGCGGAACTATTTCCCCGTTTCTCCGACGTGGGAGACGAAACTATATCCTCTTCAACAGTTACACGTCGGAAAAATTACGGGCTGAGTTACAGTCAAGTATTGAGTTCTAATCGTTGAATCTGCCATAGGTCAATCACAATACCTGACCGCGCCAGTCGCCGCAAAACCTTTATCCTTCAGCCTAGCGCTCGACGATCACTCGCACGACAATGAGCACGAATTGCGGGCTCACTATGGGCGCGATATTGAAGATAGTGATGCCCGGCTTATGGAGATGCTTGCTGCCCAAGCTGCCCATCGGGAGGTGGATTCGCTTACCGCAGACGAAGAGACAATCGCCGCCGACGAGAAATTGACCGATGACGAGAAACGCGATATACTCCAGAAGAGCTTGAACATGGCGGCTAGTAATGGCGACGTGGAGCGCGTGCGGAAACTAGTACAGGGCCAGGCGAGGACTTACGTCGATGTCAATAAGCCCGATGAGGAGGGGACTGTGCCGTTGATCTATGCTAGTTGTTTTGTGGGTTGCTCTTATATGCAAAATATTGATGCGGTACTGACGTGTTACAACAGGGTCACCAAGAAGTCGTTGCTGCGCTCATTGACGCCGGCGCCTTGGTCGACAGACAGGATCGTAACCAGTGGAGCGCTCTGATGTGGGCCATGACCAACAGACACAAGACGATAGCGAAGATTCTTCTCGACAATGGAGCATCACCGGATATCAAGTCGTCATCCGGTGGCAGGGCCTTTGATTTTGCCCAGCCCGGCAGCGAGATTTCCGAATATTTGCATGAAAATGGTTACAGCTTTGGCTCTGGTAATATCGATGATGACTTCTACGACGCTGGATTGGCGCATGGTCGTTTCGAAGAAGAGCTAGCAGAGAGCGAGATGAAGCGGCGAATGATGATGGAAGAGAGCGCAATCAATCTGGAGGTCGATTTGTCCAGTCTAGGGCTTGACGAGAAATTCGAGGTCAGTTTACGTGGTAGAATTACGGGGTCGACTTTGACTAATTTTGGTTCTTTCATCTTGTAGCCGTCCGATGAGGATGAGCTTGAAGAAGATCAACAGGAATTTGTCTGGGACAAGTGTCTGAATGATCAGATGTTTGTCTTCCAGGAGCATGAGCTAGAGCGCATTTTGGATATTATCATCACCAACATGACTCCCCAGCGGTCTCCTTCCCAAAAGCCAGTGCCTGCAAACCTTCTCTTCCTCAGCGCCCGTTATGCGCACTACCATGCCAGCCCCGAGCTGCTCACAACGCTGCTCTCGTCTGCGATGGAGAAGATTAATGACGTCGTAGAACGTTATCAATGGGATATGACAATGCAAGCCTTTTGGCTGTCGAATGCCACGCTTCTGCTCCATTACCTGAAGAAGGATGGGGGCTTAGTGGAATCTACCGTCGAGTTTCAGCTCCATCTGGCGGAGCTGATTAACGAGATATTCGTTCTCATTATTCGTGACGCCGAGCGTCGAATGAACAAAGTTCTGGATGCGGCAATGCTGGATCATGAGACCATCCCTGGACTGGAAGATGTTGCCTTCCAAAACGAATGGAATCTGTTCCGCAAAAATAAGAGCAAAACCTCCGAGCCTGACGAGAAGCGATTCCGGCCTCCATCACCGCGGCGACGAGCACAAATCTCACCTCGGAACATCACCTCTTTACTATCCTCGACCCTCTTTGTACTTGATCTCTACGATGTGCACTCAGTGATTACGACCCAGATCCTCTCTCAACTTCTCTACTGGCTCGGTGCCGAGATATTTAACCGAATCATGAGCACGAAACGATACTTGGCGCGCACGAAGGCGATGCAGATCCGCATGAACGTTTCATCATTAGAGGATTGGGCGCGCACGAACAATCGTATACCAGAACATTACGAAAACGGATCTACAAACAGCACCGGAGAGTCTACAGTTGATGCCGCTCGTCGACATTTGGCCGCGGTCATTCAACTCCTCCAATGGCTGCAATGCTTCTCGTCGCTCGGCGAGGATCACGAATCTCTCGTAACAACCTTGCTTCAACTCCAACAACTCACCCCCGCCCAGCTGCTGCATGCAGTCAAGTCATACCGCCCAGAAGTAGGCGAGAAAGGCCTGACCAAACAAGCAATGAAGTTCCTTCTCGGCATGCAAAATGACCCTGAACTTCTATACCGCGAGCAGCTGGAAATCCAAGAAGAGAAGGCAAGGGCAGAAGCTGGACCAGGGCCCCCAGCAGCATCGGATGCTCGTCCAAAGACACCACCAAAGGACCAGCCCTCCGCAGCACCTACATCTCCTGACACTGGACTATCCCCAGGCTCCGCTGCTGAATCATCCCGACGTACAAGCATGGTCGCCGCCAAGAACGACGAGCGCCCCGGTGGCAGCAATAGTGTCTTCCTCGACCCCACTCTCTTCCTCCCCTTCTCCCTTCCGACCAGTACAGACATGCTGGTTAGCTACGGCGCTGGCTTTGGTGGCACGAATCGCGAACGAGCCCGCAAGTACATTCCCACAGTCCCGCCCGAAGTCCTGAGTCGATTCGATCGTGGCGACGTATAAAACAAAACAGGCACGACGACTGCTTTTTCTTCACTTTTCCTCTAGCTTGGATTCTTATTGGTGTGACCTGCCACCTTTGCTGGGATATTGCTGTTCGGGTGCCCACGAGTTCGGGCCTGAAGTGGTGAGTTCAAGATGGCGAATGAAACGATAGGATACCCCTCATGCCATTTCTTTCTTTTTTGTTTGGGGGATATGCTAGATGTGGCGTCCATGTGGGCATCTGCCGATGCGCCCAGTATATATTTTAACTGAATCTCTTCCATGCATAGTATTGTGGCCGGTTGGTTCACTGTAGATTGTCAAATATCGAAGTGATTGCATGGAGATGCCAGTGATTTTCAACTGAAGTACCAACCCTAGAAGTATAGGAAAAAAAAGGCATATCCGTTGAAAATCTGTAAAACAAACACCTTGGACCGAAAGGGAGACTATGAAATGTTGCACCCTATACTCTACATTCTCTACCATCTCTATGACAGGAGATCCAACTATGACGCAGACACCATCTGAACAACTTGCAGATAGTGATATCTTCCACATGGGCATAGTGTATGGTAACCACTTGTCGAAAGAGCATGTTTCCTATTTTGGCTTCCCTCTCTTCCCCGAGGTCATCCAAGTTCGCAGATTCTTGTAATCCGACCCTGCCTTCCTGTAATCCCCGATGTTTATGTTCAACGTTGCTGTCAGTCAACATGAAGCCCAACTCAAACCCCTCCAAGACGGGAAGGACCTCCATGAGTCTGCCAAAACAAAGACCTCGTCTCTCCCACAGCTACTACTTCGGTCTCCAACAGAGGAACCCCCAACGATCCCCATTCCCGTGATGAGATCATCCAGAGACCTGGTCCCGCCATCCAGGCTCAATCACCTACCACCCCCACTGACTGTGTCAGCTCCCCTGCCCCCGCTACCTACTGCATGGGAAGGCACAGAAGAAATGAAGAGGTGGCTGCACGCCAAAATTGAAGATCGATGCAAGCAGCAAGAAGAAATGACACAACAGGCTGACTTGATACTGGAATAGCGGCGCATCGAGCAGTCAATACTGTCGAATAGTCCAAATTACACTAGAATCTTCCACAGATCTTTTCTAAAATAGTCAAAATAGATATAAAGTTGTCGAAAGTCTTGGCGTGTTCTCTCCAGAGCTATGACATCGAAGTACGTCATCGCGAAATGATATCGCCAATTCCAGAAACCTGATTTCATAAGGAACTTGACTATATAGGAAGTCAATTCCACTTGTAGCAATCTACATCTAACCTCCTTCAATACCCCCAAAAACCAATCTCAAACCCCAACCTCCAAAATGACGACCTTTATGCGCCTCAAGACCCCGTTCCAGGCCCGATCCCCAATCACAGCTTTCTCCGCAGCACGCACCCAAACACCTCGATACAGAAGCTATGCGACCAAATCTTCAAATGACCCCGAGCAAGCCACAACCAAGCAAACAGACTCGCCCAACCGCCCAATCCCCTCCAATAAAGCAAAGCCCACCCTCCACGAGGGGGAGCAGTCACCTGTCATAGACAAAGCAGGGAACCCGAAGAAGGACCTTCCCGAGGATGTCAAGAAGCACAATCGAGAGATGGAGGATCGGTATGATAAGCCGTATAACTATGCCAATGATGAAGGCACGGTTGAACCTTCTTTCAAGAACTAGCTTGATTCCTTGCTTGGGTATCTTGCTGTGCTGGTAATATGTCTGCTATGATTTGCTAGCTTGTGAGATGGCGCTGGTTCACCATTTCTCTTTAGCTTCTAGGTTCAGGCGCTGCTTTGCTGTTCTGGGCACCCATATTCGATATTTGATTATATGGGCTTTGTGTTTTATGTTCTCTGGGCATTTTTCTTATTACTGCTAAAATCCTTAATTTCATCTTGTAACAAGGACATAGACTGCATGATGTACCCCAATGGATAAGTAAAAAGTAGACTTTAGGCTACTTTTACATAGATCGATATCATAGCAATGATTGATTGGTATTCAATCGACTGGCTATCTATTATGATGTACAAACCAATAGTCCCCAGGCTTGTCCTAAAGCCAATATTCAGTAAGTAAAGATAAAAACCCTAAGCACATTGTAGAGAGGTAATATGATGACGTTTCAAAGACAGCCATCCAAGCATGTGTCTCGAGAATGCAGATGTTAAATTTTTTTTTTGTTTTTAAATTGATTTCCACGACAGGCAGCTTGGTCCTGTCCCCCTTTCGTGAACATCAATGTGTCCGAAAAGTAGATGTTGTGTTGGATGTACTGTTCAGCTCACAGGCAACTTGCCCATATCACCCTTGCCGCCCTTGATCCATTCGGGGTCAACGAGGCGCTCGCGCTCCGCGTACAATTGCTTGTAAGCACCACGAATAGTTCCATCGCTGACGTGTGCAACTTGGGAAATCTCCTTGGCAGACTTGCCGTGGCCCATAAGGAACGATGCCATATATATGCAAGCCGCGACAATGGACAAGGGAGAACGTCCGGCCAAGTCGCCCATGGCGGTAACGCGATCCGAAAGGGAGACAGAAACACTGGTGACCTGGTAAGGAAGGTCGAGAAGGTTGCAGAAACGATTGCAAAGATCGCTTGGCTTGGTCGAAGTAGTCGCGTTGTAATCGCCGGCAAAGTCGTGAGTTTCGCCATTTTCCAAAGCAGCATTGTGGCGCTCGACGTTTTGGGTGGTGAAAAACTTCTCCAGAGCTTTGTAGATGCGACCGATTTCCTTTCGGGTGACCTTGGTCACTGCGAAGATCTCGGTGAAGGTACGAGGAACCTTGCACTGACGGCATGCGATGAAGATGCAGCCAGCAATAATGACTTCCTGTGACTTGCCCTTGAAGGCTTTAGCGTCGTCGACCATCTTGAAGAGATACTTGGCAGTATCGGCGACAGTCTTCTGAATGTTGAAACCGTCGCACAGAGCACCGATTTCCTTATAAGCTGCTAGGAGGGCCTTGTTCGCTTTTTCGCCGGACTGCTTGTTTTGCGCGCGGTACAGGTCGCGGGCACGGCCAGAGCCTCCACTTGCGATAGAAGTCTCCAGTTGAGCGCCGTTTAGCAGAGGGTTCGAAGCGTCTCCGACACGGGAGGGGTCGTCATTATTTTGGTCGTCGTTGGAGAAGGTACGCCATTCAGAGTGCAAGTCTATCTCACGATCTGCGAGCACCAGTCCACAGGAACCGCAAACTGTCTCGTGGGAGTCGGGGAATTCCAGGTTCGGAGGATCCTCTTTGCATTCGGGGCAAACGAGATGAGCGGACAGGTTTTTCTTCCAAGGAGCCGCGACCTCGGGTTTCGCAAGAGTAGAAGTAGCCATATTTTGAGTTTTCAAGTAACTTGCGTATCGAGCGTGGCAGCGTCGTGCAAGGACTTTAGGCGATATGCGGGGTAGATGATATTTCCGATTATAATAGCGAAGGAAAATTGGCGAATACAGCTTGGCGGCTGTAGTGAGGAAAACGAAAGCGGTCCACCTGCGGAGGATCCCTTACCAAGGGAGAAGGTCGAAAATGAAAAATAGAGTCGCTCAGGGCCACTGTTGTGCGCAGTCAAGTTAGCCCAGCCCAAGGCAAGTTCATTGTCTCCCGTATCGCAACGTTATCTGGTTCTTTGACCCGCAACAATGTCATGCCAAGATGTACTCAAACAAAGAAGCGTTCATTACCTTTCACAGACCAGAGCTCTCGGGATTCAAAGGAGTCACCCCCAGTCGTAGAAAACCCTTCACCAGTCTGCGCTTTCTTATATCGAAAGTAGAACAGAGATCTCGCCTCAGCTTGTCCAGCCGTGTTGAACCAGTCAAGGTCTCCGCAAGAAGTCTCTCACGAAAATGGGGACAGGCTGAGGAGGAGAGAAAGAAGAAGCCAAAGACCGGGGGAGAGTCAGGGAGCGAGACGATGGGATGAAGTGAGGCTTCAATGGGCGACCGGGCGGTACCCGAGAAAGGCGCAGTCCAGATCTGGATTAGTAAGTAGGTCACGTGGTATATCCTGTTTTTTATTGGTGGAGGAAGTATAGGAAGCTTTTCCAAGGTCTTATAACAAACGAATATTCCTTGTTCTCGTTTGTTGCTGTATATAGATCAAGATGCAAGAGGACAGTATGGCTTTAGATTCGACTTCTGCCGATAAGATACAATACTAAAGTCAAGACATTCAGATATTCATATACGGATGGTCTCGGAAATTTGCGTAGATAGTCCACTCAGAGAGATGTGTCCTCTCCTCTCCTCTTGGGCACACTGTGCACACTTAAATATAACTTAGCAAACTATCACTTCTCAGCAATAAGTTGAACCACCGTCGATTATTTGGTTCTATACTAATTGTGTTTGAAGTCCTGGAAAGATTCGGGAACAACTTGGCCCGGCTGAGTCATCTGCCAAGAAACCTTTCCGAACAGAAGTCGTTTGAACCTCCAACTTCACGGAAAGACGGATCAGACCTATTCTGTTGAGAACCACCCCTCACTCCTCATCCACACCCTCAATCAAGATGATGTCTCAGTCTCTCCGGGCCTCGGTGAGTATTGATTGATTTACAGCTGCCTATTTCAACCTTCAACTAACGCAAAAGCAGCGCACCCTCTTCTCCCGTGCCTCTCGGGCACAGGTCTCGGTCGCTCGCCGCACTTTCCTGACCTCCGCCGTCCGCCAGGGTACGTATTTTACCCGGAGGATATCTTCCATATGACAGATGTCCCTGCTATATCCGTCGGTCGCATCGTCGCTAACCCGCAACCCGCCGCAGCCGACCCCGTCCAGGACCTGTACCTCCGCGAGCTCAAGGCCTACAAGCCCACCCCCCTCAAGGCTGGTGATGCCGAAGAGCACGTCCAGAAGTTCACCGCCCCCAAGGCCCCTCAGTCTCCCGAGGAGGCCAACCTCGCCAGCGAATTGTCCGCCTACGAGAGCCAGGAGGTCGAGGTCGAGGGTCAGGCCGCCGCTGGCGAGGCCGCCCCCGTCGAGGAGAGCTGGTTCGAGGAGGAAGAGGAGGCCCCCGCTGCCCACTAAATTTCCCTTATTTTCATTTAGCAAGGTCTGGGGAGATATGGGGGGAAGGCTGGCTTTAAATGCCTGTTGACGCAACTAATGTGGCCGCCTCTCGAGGTCCTGAAGCTTGTAAATTAGACCACATTTTCGAACGTTGAGACTTCTTTTTTCCTTTTTTCCCACCTTTTCTATGTTTGCTCCGGACAGGGCACCTGGGTAAAGGTTTTCAGTCTGGGGCTACGCGATGTGGCTGATCACAAAGACTGCCTTGGTTGAGTACAACCGACGCACTCCAGACTAGGGTCATTCGTGCTATCTTGAGCTTTTCGGTTGAGCACGAAGAGCCGGGATTTGTAGTATTCAAATGTAGTATATTAAGAATAATTGTATACGATATTGAAGATATCTAGATGGTTAAACTGTATAATTGACCACGTGATGGAGTCCACTGCACAGGCAGCACAGGAAATTGAATCTCCATGGTCAACTATGATGGCAAGAGCTGTGGGTAATAAATGCCTGGTACACCGAGCCTAGTCCACGGCCTTATCCGTTAGTAGTTAGGGAATCGCCTGTCGTGCATAGGTAAGATGAACCAAACAGATAACTTGGTTGGAACATGACATGGGACTGGTTTACAAAATGTGTTGTGCATGGCTTAAGTAGGCTTATTGTCATGCTCATGCAATAAGTCATCCGTTACGGAGTCGTACCTGGTTAGACCTCGGAAGTATATAAGATTTACGGATGGAAGTCCACATAAGGGCATTATTGATACTGATTATTGGGATCCACTGCAGCAACCGATAGATCAACATGTAACGAACAGACCAAAAGTTCATGAAAGTATGGCAATTGATGTGATGTATCAAATCTCATGAATTGAACTATCAGATGCAACCATTCTAATTTGATATCAATATCCCTGGATCTAGCGGGGGCAAAGCTAAAACCAAAGTTTAACGAAAAAGAATAACAAAACTATTCTTAGACCCCAATCCGTTGCTCGACTGTGATTTTCCCAGGGCCAGAGCCGCAATGAAACCAGTCGCCAAGGGCTTGTGTGTCAGCACGGCACTGGCGGGAACAGGGAAGATCAAGTGTGGGAATTACATATAACGCCATTTATAAGGCTATCTCGGTAAGGCGATTTAAGCGCCCCCGCAGGGCAGATTGTGACAGATAATGAACATGCATAATTTTGGCTGATTTGACCCTGTGGAAAAGTTGTTATAGTCCATATGGGAAAATATCATGAAGGAATGCGAAATAATTAAGGTGCCATATCACCGACATTCTAACATTCCATGGCCAAGAATGAGATACGAGATCTGTACAAAGTACAGCTGTCATAGTCCACTCGGTGAATTCTACCCTTTTTATGTTCCGGAGAGGATACGATTGGCCGTGTTGCCTGGATACCTTGCAATTGGGACTGAAGAGCCCAATGTCTTTTACGAATTAGACTTGGCAGTGCATGCAGAAAGACCAGGGCTGTGGACTCGAGCTGACATGGTGAGATTAGTATTACGCGACTATGGCTAGAGAAGAGAAGTAGGTGGAGTAAAAGGAAATATGTAGTCTTGGATTGTCTCAGCTAGAAAGAAACGTCTGGTTTTAATATAATTATACATATTTCTCGTATTCTAGAAGAGGATAAGAGGATAATAGGCTGAAATGTCTCGAGTTAATTAACCAAAAAAATATAAAAAAAGAGACACGTAGGTACACAGTAGACTTTGGTACATTCAGCTTCCCCCTTGGAACAATTCCAATTTTCTTTTCATTTCTCCCTCACTTCTTGATATTACCTTCCCCCCCCACCCTTTTTCCCGGAACCCAAGGCCTTTGGGGGAGATTCCCCCGTCGATCACTTTCTGAATCAGTGTGGCGCCCTTCTAAGCGGCTGCATAGAAGATCTATCCACCCCCAAACTCCATTATTATCTTTCTCTGTCTCTGTTGCTCCCTTTCAAAGTGTTTTCAGCGTTGTGATTGTGCCGTGTTTGCTCTTCCCCAGATGCAGCGTGCCTGACTACTTCGACCCGGAACTTCCTGGTGCACAGAGGAGCTGGTCTCTTCTACGCTCAGAATCTTGAGATTTAAGGGGAAATGAACCAATAACTTCCCTCGATAACTTGCTTTTTTATTCCCTAGACAATGTCTTCGCCCTCCCGCGAGACACCGAGCTACACGAACGATGAAACCCCCGAGCTCTCTCGTGCCGCCAGCTACACCGATCTTCCCAGCCAAACCGCAACAGAGCCTAGCTTAAGACGTACATTTTCTGATTATGCTGTTCCGAGCTTGGCAGAGTCACCGACAAAGGAAACCGTGGATGCCGGGAAGGACATTCTTCGCCGAACCTCTCTTCGCTCCAAGGACAAGTCGAAGCCAGCCGTCTCACGTTTCACACTGTCGTCATCGGAGGATTTGAAGGATACAGATTCACATGTGCCCGAAACCCGGGCACCGGAGCCCGCTGTGAGGCCATCTAAGAGCCGATCAATGTCTGGAAGGATAGTCAGCCTTGCGAGGAAACCGTGGAGCTCTTCCTCCCGATCTCCGTCCCCGTCAGCAAAAAGATCTAAGCAGCAAGATTCTCAATCTCCAACTCGATTCGGCGGTCAAAAAACAGAAGATGATCAGGCCCAGCCCCCCTCCCGCAGACGAACGATTCTCTACAAACGCCCGCGCCGGCCAATGCTGGCTGTTGTGGCCAAGGGCCCCGAAGACAGCCCCGGCTCTCCAAGCAGTCCCTCTGGCAATTCGCTACGGCACCGGTCCTCATTCGAAAAGTTCACAGCGTCACTCACCGTTTCGACCCCGGTCTTACCACCTATGCCCAAGGGAGCCGCAGAAACTGCTGCGGCGTATGCGAACTCCGGTCCTGATCATGCCCGCAAGAAGGATGAGCTTTGGGGTATCTTTCGGGGCCTGGAGGCGGATTTCCAAAAGTATGTACAACGACCTTAGCCATTCACATCACAATTGTTGACCAGAAAAAAAGGTTTCAGGCCAAATCTAGCTCGCTGAAAGCCAACGTCATCCGTACCTCGCTTCTTCCCTTTCTCAGCCGCCATCACCTCCACGCATCATGCAAGAACCTCAGACCAGAAGATCTGGATCGTCGTGTCAATATTCTCAACAAATGGTGGATTGGAATGTTGGAGATGCTCAACGGCAAGCATAACCAGTCGATCTCGGGAACCGACAGACCAGTGTTTCTGGAAGCTGTCGTGGGAATCATGGCTCGACCGGAATGGCGCATCCCCTTTCCTATGGCTCAGAATGGCAGTGGACCTGCGGATTCATTGAAGTACGCGTCAACTTCAGTGTCGGAAACATCGGATGGGTCAGGCTCTTCGGGTTCGGATTTCCTGGTTGAATCGATTCATCACAACATCCGGAACATCTTTATCCAAAACCTGCTCTCTCAAATGGCATTTGTGGTCGAACGAATGTCTATGAGACATGCACCAGCTAGCCTGGTCGCCTTTTGCGGCAAGGTTTGCGCGTATGCCTTTTTCTTCTGTCCCGGGGTGCCCGAGATCCTGGTTCGCCTGTGGTCTATGCCTCCTAATATGTTCCGACGCATCTTGTCAGAATCTACCGGGCCACGCACTGGACACACGCGTGCATACACGCAAGAACTTGCTCTGTGCTTTCCACCGGCCCTCCGTCCCCTAGCGTTCCACTCACCAGCACCTCTGTTGCGATATCTACGCCAGAAACCCGAGCTACCTTTGAACACCACACCTATTAATTGGAATCGCCCCTGGGTCGCACGGTGGGCTGGACGTGACACAGATCTCTTCTTTGTCTTCGTTAAATACATTCACATTCTGTATGCCGAGTATCTGCCTCCAGAAACTGAAAAGGCGAAACGGATATTAGCACCTGGGTTGTTGATAGTTCATGCGCAACTCCTGCTCGTTCTGGAGGACACAATCTACAAGCAATCGGCACAACAGGGGTCCGACAATCCCCACACAGCGGCTGCAATCACCTTTGATGATTTCATCGAGTCACCGGATGCTGCTGCCTCCACTCAACTTCTCCGAAGTGGCAGCAACACTCATCGGTCGATGGCAGAGAATCGTTTGATCATCCTTCTCCGAGACCTCCTGTCTGAATCGTCCGTGGAACCGAATCGAGCTCGATTACTTTTTGCCGAATCATTTTGCAACATCATCAAAGCTGCGGCGCAGAAAATGTCTCTCTTTGATCATAACGCATGCTTTTTGTTGTGTGACTTCCTCGAGGAGGTCATTCCAATCATCACACGTTATGCCCAGTCGATTGAAACGGAATTGTTTGATTGGGGCTTTTGGCTCGACGTTTGTCGCCAAATGATGCAGAGCCACAATTCGCTCACTGAGGTGCGAGTGTTTTCTTTTCTCTTCTGCGTCTGGGGTACCTGGACTGCCACAGAAGAAAGAAAGGCATCTATCTGTCTTGATTTCTTGTTGCATGAGCCGGTATTTTACCACTACTTTACCCACTGGAGTCCAATGGTGCGAGCCTATTTTCATCGTTTGTTGTGTTGGAGGGTCGGACGGTTTAATACCGAACCCTCATCACTTGACTCCAACATCTATGAACTTCTTTCAAATCGACTCCTACGAGTCTGGGAGTATTACATCGGGTTCCAATCTAAGGCCGAGGAGGGTTTGACAGCTCCCTTGTCCTCTGCTCCCTGTACGCCGGCCCCAGGACGAAGAATCATCATTATCCGATGCGAAAACCAACTGTCTCCTGTCAACCTTTTCGTCAGCTTCGACCGAGTCGTTCCACCCGTTCCTTCAGACCAACTCGTATCACATCGTCGAACCGGGTCTTCTGACTCTAATGGCTCAGATGGCCAACCACCTAAAAAAAGGTGGGGAATACTCAAGGCTATGTTTGGCAGCTCTTCCAACGCACGTTCCGGTGATGGTGTCAGCAGCAGTAGTTCTGATGACTCCGAGAATGGCGTATCAGATCCAACAATGACTGCTGATAGCAAATGTATGGATCAAC